CGGGCCTTGAGGCGCCCCCGGGGCGACCACGACCCTGCCGCGGGGGCCGCCGAGTGTGTGCGGGGCGCCGTGCCCCGGGACAGGGTCCGGGCCCTGGGCAGAGGTGTGGGGGGACCCCAGTGACACGGGTGACTCGAGGGGATGGGGGACACGAGCATGTCCTGAGCGGGGCTCTGGGAAGGGTTTGGCCTCGGCCTCAGCACGTCCAGGAACGATAATGAGGGTGCGTTCACTGCCCCCGGGGCGCTGGAGGCCACGTGCTGGGGCGGGCAGCATGTGCCCTGCAGCCAGGATGAGGCAGACAAGGCGGCTGGAGCCTACCGCCGGGCCTCGGGGAGGCTCCATGACTCCGTCTCAGCAGAGCGGTGGCAGAATCGGCGCCCCGCGTGCTCATGTCTCCGGCTATGCGATGGAGGCTGTTTGGCGGGAGGTTCAGGAGGACGTGGTGCCCCCACCGCTCCCGTGCGTGCGGCTTCGGGGACCTCCTGTGGTCCCGGTACCGGCCTCGCCCGGAAGCGGCTCGGACCAGGACCCGACGCGTGGAGTTGATTCCGGTCACCAAACCTGTGGCAAGGCGGCCTGGCCGAAAGAGGAATGGCCCTGGGCTGGAGCTGAGGTGCGAGGGCAGAGCGGAGGGGCCCAGGAGCACAGGGACGGGCACGGGAAGGGGACAGGGTCCTGGGACCAGGCTGGGGCAGGACTCACTGCACTTGCGGCGCAGCCCGCAGGCTGAGAGGGGTCACGGCCAGCGCTGGGGGGACAGGGACAGTCACCCGGGACCCCCCTGTGCCTGGGAGGCTGCCCAGGGCCTTGTGTCCTCCCACTTGTTCCCTCCTGGCAGGTGGCGCCCGGCCCGCAAAGGGTTACGCAAAGTGCCCGGGAGTGACACGGCTGCCACCAGCCCTGGCGCTTGGCTCCTTCCTGGTGCGATCCCGGCCGGGTTCGGCCACGACTCGGTGAGTGCCGACCTCCAGGCTCTGTTTGGGGACAGGGACGGAGACAAAAGCCTGATTCCCCTAGGGAACTGGCTGCGGTTCATCGCTCCCCAGCATGGTCTGCAGGGACAAGGTGGCTCGGGGACCCTCCTGTCCCCGTTGCAGGGACTGAGCAGGGGCAAGGACCGTGGGGCAGAGCCCGAGGGCTGGTACTGGGGCCCCTGAGGAGGGCCAGGGCACAGCCCCGCTCGGGGTGATGCTGGGAACGAGTGGCGTCACCCTGGGCTTGGGGACCCGGGGCTGGGGCCACTGCCCTGCCCAGGTGCCTGGGGCTGCAGGATGGGCCTCTGTCCTGGCACATCCGCACCCGGGATGGCTCCCACCTTCCCGGCTCCCCTTCCCGGAGCGCGGAGGCCCCGGGGAGGCCGGCATGGCTTGGTGGGGCGCAGTGGGGTGGCTTGGTGGAGATGCCGGGGACTGTTCAAGGAAGCGGGGGCTCCACCCAGCGTGGCAGGGACCGCACGGGGGACACTCCGCGCTGGGACGTGGGGACATTGCCATGGAACCGCTCACGCAGCAGCCGAGTCCCCCCTGGCGGCCCTGGGCAGGAGGTCCTGGTGCTGCAGAGTCTGCTGGTGCCCCAATAAACCCCCTGTCCCCGGCGTGGCCACAGGTCACCCGCGACGCAGTGAGGTCACCCCGGCCGTTTGTCCCAGGCCCATCGCGACCCCTGCGCAGCCTGGCACTCACAGAGCAGCCCTGCAGGTGCCGGGCACGGCAGGGAACGCGGCCCCGGGGCTGCCCTCTCCTGGTGGGGCCATTGCGGCGGGCGCTGGTTTCTGCGGGGAAACCGGCTGAGCCGGCTCCTCCGGCCGCCTCGGGGAGAGCGGGGGCAGCCGCGCGGGACTGCCGTGGCCTGTACCTCGTCCCTGCTGCAGGGCTCGGAGCCCCGCGAGGCGGCAGCGCAGGGGGTTGTGACGGGGTTGCAGTGGGAGCCGGCACGTGGGGGCAGCAGCTGAGCCATCACCCTGGGGGATGCCCAGGGGCTGCTCCAACCCGCGGCTCCTCTTTGTGGTCTGGAGGTGCCCAGGCACCCCATGAGCCTGGGCTGGCACTGGCGCTGCGGCAGCACTGGCCACCTCAGCTGCCTGATCTGCCCCAACCTGACCCACTTCCGTGAGGGCTCTCCTGTTCACTGGCCCGGGTCAAAGCCAGCTCCCAGGCCCCGGTTGGGAGGTCCCTAGGGGCAGCTGGGCGCTGCCTGGGCCAACCTCTTCCCAAACACCCAGGAACGGGTGTGTGGGACCTTCTGGCGCCCAGGGGAACCAGGGCAGGGCAGGTGCCTCGCGGAGGTGGGGCTGGCCCGGGGGCGGGACGCCAGGTAGGGCCACGGCTGCTGCCACCGTCACCGCCAGGAGGAAGCCCCAGAGCCGGGCGCCAGACAAAGCGGCAGGGGGCCCCC